GGGGGGGGGGGGGCAATGCGGCAGGCTTGTCCCTCGTGAGTAGGTGGCAAACTTCGCAACTCTTGTGGCCATGCGAGCAGCTCGCCGTGCAAGTGAACTCGGCGCGCCCGCCGTCCAACCCGCCGAACATGCCGCCTCCTCTCTGTGACAGCCCGGAAGCGGGAGAGGCATTAGAGTTTGTAGTTGTTACCATGATTCATGCCGAGCCATGGCGGCAGAAAGCAAAGAAGGGGCGATGGCTGCGACCTCCGTCACCGTATACTTCACATTTTAGAACCAGGGTCTTCCCCCTCGAAGACTCAATGAACAACACTTGCGAACTGGCACCAAAATGCGCAGCAACGTGTCCATCCCCAAACTCTCAACGAATGAAACGATTTCAGGTGCACGATAGCCGGTTGAATACCGAAGTACACTGCGAAGGTCAACAGAGGCCAGGAGGCATCCATTGACATTCCGATACACCACGTGGAGACACCGCAGCAAGATCGTGGCAGTCCCTTTCCGATCAATGGACGTTGTCCGTTCAGACACCTCAAAACCTCGTCGCTGTATGCCGTTGAATGCCTAGCCCGTTGGTCAACATCGCCGCCTCGTGTCTCGTATAATGAAGCCCCGGTGTGACTGCTACACTCACCTGTCGCCAACTCGGGGGCCTCTTCCCGCTGGAACTCCCCCAGTTCCCGACCAGGCTCTTGGCAACTTCCACGACCAACGTTGCTGTGGAGACCTTGGTCACCTGACAGACACGAGGTGGGGTAAGATCAGTTCAGGGACCTGGAGCGTAAGCGCAAATGCTACATACATAATCGTGACCTGCGGCCCCAAGGCTTGCTTCCTGGCAGTGGGGCCGTGGCGGTATGTTGGCCCTGTGATGCGCTGCCGAAGAAGTGGCCTTCAACTGGGGGAAATCCGAATAGAACAACAGGAAGGGACCCTCGGCAGACACAGGTGCAACATATTGGTCCCGGTGCAGCGCGCTCAACCTGCGTTTTGGTGCGCACGGGCTCTAATCTTTTGAGCCATGTTTCTTCTCAAAGTCGGATGTTGTTCGCTTACCAGGTTCGCGATGGCGTGCATCGCCCACACGACAGAAACAATGATCAGTTTTTGGTGAAGCCCATGCGTTCTTCCCGCCGACTCCTCGTCCCAGCGGACCATGTCCCGGACGATGAGGGCATGCGTGGCCGTGTCAAACCCCTGCAAGGAGACGACACCCCCAGACGGCGTGGATCAGAGGGCCGACGGATGTCCAAGGATAAACTTTGGCCCATCTACGGTTGCCGATACCTAGCAGCACATGGTATTGGTGCGGTCTGCATCGAAGGAGGGACAAAAGGTATCGACTGGTGTTGTAATGGAATCTCAACCGCTTTCACATGAACCAGGAGGGGCAGAGCGCTAGGTGTCGCTCTAGGGCAATCGGAACATTGGACACCACAACTGGGTACAGTTGACCGCCGAGGTGACGCTGATATGTTCTTCGAGTCACCGACTTTCCGCATCAGTCTGCGGGGAACACTGGCTTACAAAGCAGGACTTCGAATCTCGAAGGTCATGCCGTGTATTGTCGGCGCAGGGGCCGGAGGAATGTTTTGAAATGCGCGCCTGTGCTCTACCTGGAGCGACATCCGCTTGACACAGAGCAACGCGTCCTTGAAGGAGGACATGTGCCAGTGATCCATGAGCAACCGCATTATCCCCATCGTCGGCGACCACCGTCGCTGCGCGTCCCGTGAGATGAGAATGATCTTTCCCACGTGGTACAAGGAGCTTGTTGCCACCATCTTCAGCGTGAGAGGAGAGGCGTAGGGAGATGCGATCAGCATGGACAGCACCTCCCGCGACCAGTAGGCCGACAGCACGCCGGCGATAACCCAGTACAATCTTCGCCTCAGCTGCAGCAGCAAGCACGCCATGAGACAACGACGCAGCCACGCGACGCACGTGTGTGAGCAGGCCGAGCACGCAGGAAGTGGTTTTAGGCCCAGGGCGGAGGGCCTGTCGGTCTATCAGATGGAAACATGTGACGTGATGTCGATCACAGATTTGCTTGCATCAACCGGAGGCCAAACAGGCGTATCAGTAGCTGGCCACGTCCGGCAGGACAGGAGACAATGCAAGCTGAGGACGATGATAAACAATCGCTGATTCACTGCACTGAACTTGGCAAGACCTTGAGAAACACAGGTCAGGTTGTGACTTTGTCGTTCGCGCACGAAACTGACTTTCAATAAAAGCGGCGGTGAGCTCAACTTCTTACCAGCCCGACGCCGTAGCTTCTGTCCAGCCTTTGGCACAGCGGGTTCAGCAAGATGTTGGCGTGCTGCAGCAACAGCCACACCTCGTGCACGAACGTCGCCACCACCAACCAGGCCGGCCCAAACCGGCGCCCATCTCGCGCCCAGCCCCACGAGCCACCATCGCTGCTGTCATCCTCCTCCTCGTTCCTGTCCTCCTGTTTTTCCTCTGCCTCCCCCTCGATACTGCTGCCGTCTAAATCCGATTCCGCGGCAGCGGGGCGAACGATGCCCCTTCGCTGGTCGTCAATCTGTCCGACCCCTCGGCCCGCTTCGACACGAGCAGCCGATGGTCCGGCGGGCCCTCCCCCTTCTTGTCGACCGGCATCCACGAAATCTTCCACTTGGTGCTGGGAAGGCCGAGGTTTGTCATCGTGGAGGCGATGAGGGGGAAATGTGCTGGTGAAGATGGAGAAGGAAGTGCAAGAGGAGGATCGCAACAATACTGTTCGACTCGAGCATCGCAAGTTGTCTCTGGCAGATATTCACGACGGAACTCCTGGTGAAATTTACATAAAGTCGTGGTCTGTGCGAGGAGCACTAGCGATCACAACGGCCCGATAACCCGAACGGTCCCAGCTGCACAAAATAAGGGGAGCGACGAGACCTCATATAACGTATAACAGCACAGGGTCTGTGCCGAACTTTGAGTAGGAAGTGTCTAACCCCTTGCAACGAGGAGGCGTAATTTTCTGGTTGCAATCCGTTGGAACCAGACGTAGTTTCTCACGCAAGACACCAGACATGGGCAAAGGGGGGACGGAGGCACACGCCACAGCCATAGCGAAACAGGAGCAGGGTGTGCCCTACACTACTGCTGTTAGCTATCGGCCGGAAGCGAGAGGAGACAACGTTTGGTTGGGGCTCCGATCACCGCTTGTTACTTTTTTGTTTGCAGCGGTGTTTTCATCTCGGCAGCGACCTTCGAGAGAGGCATCACACCAACATTGCACTCGTTCCTAGACACCACAATTGAAGATGCATGTACTGCTGTACTTCTCTCTACACTTCTTGTGTGCGAGAGGATGTCGCCTCTACTGCTGTTTGTTGTGACTGGCGGCGGAGGAAGCGACAGGAGAGAATACACTTTTAGTTGGGTCTCCATTCAACCGCGAATGTTTTGTTGTGCGGCTTTTTTTTTCATCGGCAGCGACCTTGGAGAGAGGCATCACCAACAGCAGCCTTCGCAGGGTTTTTCGATCAAGTCAACATGTTGGATACAACATTCAATCGAGGAAGTTGGGTTAGGGCACGTGTGTGGTGGCCAAGGGTATCTCCTGTTTCACGTTCTTCTTCCGGCAAAACGGACGGGCGCACGCGCTCGTTTACCAGGCACTTTCAACAAACCAAACTACGTCTACCCATATGCATACGAGTCAATCAAGTTGACGTAGTCTACTTTTGTTCAGAAAGTAAACGTCATCTCACAGAAAGACTGCCCATTCAAGATGAAACCAGAGCAGTAAAATGTAGTGGATTGGGATGTGTGGAAGTCTTTTAAGTGACCTCCAGTGACGAGGGGACGGCTGGACTCGGCTTTTTTTTTTTTTTCTGAAGCAGTCGCACTTGATCCGTACCGCTTTGCTAACGTCTTGGACCGGAGATCTTCAGCTACAGGGCCAGGCGCAGTCAATACAAAGGAGCCGCAGCTTCAATCCCTATACAAGCAAGCGCAGCCTAGAACACGCACACACACAATGCGCCACCGCAACAGCGGGTTGGACTGTGAGGAATGACACGCGAGCGTCGCTGTCGAAAAATGGCTGCTGACTTTGTCCCAAGGACGCATGTGATGTGTTGTTGTCGTGCGTGAGGAGCACCCACTCACCGTCAGAGACTCAAGCTTGCTGGTTAACCTGTCGAGTTTATCGTTGAGACCAGCGAGGGCACCCGCCTGGGATACCTCGCTGCTTGTGATCGCTTCTTCTGCGGCTGCTGTTGCTCTCGCCAGGGAGCAGACTACAAGGATCGCCACCTTGACGTCACAACGTAGGCGCCACATGAACAGCGTGAGACCGCCGACTCTTTCACGAGGCATGGCGGCCCGATTACGCGAAGAGCTGGAAACTTGACCTTCGTCTATTCGGCATTCCACGACTTCGTGAGGTACAGCGACGTCCGGATTCTTCTCTCGTTATCGGTCTGCTTGAGCGCGTGTGCCTCTGCGTCGACTGTCCAGCCGAGTGCAGTGGGAGCGTGAACGGGTCGTCCATACCCCACCGCACTTTTTTTTCGCGCGGCCCCCACCGAACGAACATCAACATCCGAACCATGACGGCCGCATGACTGAACACGCAATTTAGCTCATCACGGAGTAGTTGTGCTGTCATTCGTGCTGGTAAAACACCGGTCCTGCAGCAGCCCACGTGTGGCGAACGCTCAACTGGAGTCTTTTTCAAGCCATGCCGCTCTGGTTCAGCGGCTTTCGTCAGCAGTAAGAAAATAACCACAGGGGTGTGACGCATTTTCTAACGTCACGCGACGTTACACAACGCAGAGGAGCATGGCATCACCGTTCTTGTCTGCCGAAGATATCGACAAGCTACAGCGCCGTTTCTCCACGCTCGAGGCAGATATTGACACGCTTTCCACGGCGGTATCCCAGCTGCCGTCTGCTCGCAGTGGTAGGGCTGGATCAGCTCGCCGCCTTAGCAGCCATGACAGGCCTTTCGGCATGATTCAGGTCGCCAACGGCCTTCCCGGGCTGTTCGGTTCACCTCCGACAAGGACAACGCACCCACTGCTGTTGGGACACCTCATGGTAGCCGTAGTCGCAGCTGCGGTGGCTCTGGTGTTGTGGCGGGTTCGGCTGCTGAAGGTGGGGAAACGAGCTCGAGATGTACATGTCGGAAAATTAGGTGCAGCATGTCAGAGCAGACCGAAGTCGGCCATATTCAATGTCAACCATTATAGGTACAACATCGTACGTGCTGTCCTGTAACTACCACCGCTGTAAGCACAGCAACTCGAAAGTTTTCGTGCATGATCCTACGCTACAACAGTACTGCTCTGTACAGCCGTGCGCACGCTATGCATGCGACTCTATCAACGCTAGACACGTGTGCATTATCGCTTTTTGGCTCCACACCGCTGACGGTACAAATCGTGTTCCACTCTGCACGACAGCAGGGAGCGGTGCTGTGGTCTACCACGCAGATTTGCCTAGGGTATCACCCCCCCCTTTTGGACCGATTTTCAAAGCTCATTTGCTTTTCAAACAGCAGCGGCGGTGCTGAAAATGACGGGGTTGGAACTGCCTCGTCGAGAATTTCTAAAAACGTGGTATCGTTTGATTTCGGCATCATGTCCATCGTGAAGTAATCGAGCTCTGAAAATTGGTCCAGGGGGGTGGTATCTTATGCAACACTGCGGCACCCTTCTGCCGTGGAGTTGACGTTCTACTGGTACCTGCAAGAAAGAGACTCATTTCGTTGTCTGAGAGGCAAAAATATTCCAAGCACATCCTACGTACTATGTGCGTTCAATGGTATCCCAGACGTTTACCGCGCGTGTTATTGTGTTTTCATCCCATGTACCAGTAGTGTACCACAATTGGGGTCTCACTTGTGGGCGAACGGAGGTTATTTTCAGGGCTGTCCTCGTTAACGGTTTTTCATGTTGGAATGATTTCCTGCGTTTAACCAGAAACCACCGTCCGAAACAGAAATTTTTGGGTGGTAACTGGCCACCACGGCACAGCTCAGTTATTTTTTGGCGGTAACTGGCCACCACGGTAATTTTATCATTGTACGGCAACCAGCCACCACGGTAATGCACAGAAATGTGCATTTTTTTCCGTAACTGGTCACCACGGTATACGTGGTACAGCAGTTAACCACACCAAGGCACGTGGGGCCCTGTTTCGTTTGCTTGCTTTCAAGTGTCCCTAAGGGTGTGGTCACCGCACACCAAACGTGCGCGGCACATTCACCGAGCATCACACCCGTCAACCAAAACGGTCGCATAGTCTGTATGTGGATTGCACAGACAGGCTCTCGTGGCCTCAAGACGACATGCGACCATCGCTGCGCCAAGTTATGTGTCATCAACAGGACAGCCAACAAGCAAGCGCCGCCTTCCTCATCCACAAAGAAACGGTGGAATTATTCAAAGGTTACAGCCCCTACGCAACAGCCCCCCCCATACACCATCAAACCATGAAAGTGGGAGAAAAGAGGGTAGAGCGGGGCTCGAACCCTTTGACCTCGCGCAGGCTATTGGATATTGTGCGTACCTCTTCGCCTAGAGGGGCACACGAGCATTTTACTGTGTGGAACGGCATCGCAACTGGTGTTTCTCTCCGTTAGATGGGATTTTATTGTCCTAACGGAACGCGGTAATCGAAAGCACGGGAATTCCGATTTTTCCGCGGTAGTTTTTTGTACGGTAATGGGGCACTTCAATTTGCTCGTTGGACGGTTTGGGCGTTAACGGAACGACCAATTTATCTCGGAAACGATTTGGATGGGAACTATAATTCTCATTATTCACGGGATCGCGGGAAACGGTAAGTACCGTGGTTTTATTGCGGTAAAATTCCCGCGGATAATTTTGAGGACAGCCCTGGTTGTTTTAATGGGATTGAAAACAGACTGTTTCACGCTGGCTCTATTTTCTTTGTAAAATCCCATTCTATTAGACAATAAAAATAGAAAGCAACCTTCCCGCTGTTGACATCCTGCCATTTACTGTTATCAGAAAAGACACTATGAAGGGGAGTCGTCTGTGCTGGTACGTTTACGTTTGCTACTGGAGCTGAAACATCGAAATATCTAAGGTCGCATCAGTCTCTGAAAACAGTCCGTAGTTCGCGCCGGAACCCAACAATTTTGTCACAGCCATGCTCACCACCACGGACCGTAAACCCCTGAACGGCGGGTCGTCAGCAGTAGCTAGTGGCATCAACTGCGGAAGGAACCCGCAGTCGCGGAGATTGGTGTCAGTGGCGGCGGGCACAAGCTGTACAAGACATTGGATGTCGACCAAGTTTGGCGAAATTCGCGGAGATTGTAGGCCGCAACTACGGGCCTCGATCTCACCACTCAAAAGGCGGATTTGAGCGCGTCAATACCCCCCCCCCCCCCCCCC